AAACCCAAGAGGAGGAAAGACCCTATACAAAGTATTTTCACCAATTACTCTAAAAGATTCTAATGCTGGTCATCTGCTGACAAGTCGTTCACTACGAAAATAATGGATTTGCCATTGGAGTGCCTTAATTAGGGTTCTAGCTCAGCCATTTGGCAGTATTAGGTCTCTTCCTAGTTTATAGGGACTTTGGTGTATAGACGATAACAATTATAGAGATAATTAGCATTTATTTCAACAGAGACTGGCATGCTCTGGGTACTCTTCTAAGTACTCTTCTTGTCTTACTTTTAATAGTCCAGACAAGGGTTTTAGAGAAACGGAGACACAAAAGTATAACTTGCCCCAAAATACGCAATCCGAAGTACAAGAGACAGGATTGAAATTCGTGTACCCTGGTATCTGCCAAATGAATCACACTCTGAACTGTCCAGATCAGTTGATGTAGCTTAATACTGCTTTAGCAACTTTGCACACTTTTACTGGCTCCTACTTCAAGCTCATAACTACTGAACTTACAAATTCATGTAATTATCATTTCAATTTTACTGAAGAAATTTATACTGATTTCAGAAGCAACTGGCACAAAGGTGACGAAATCATGTCTAGGCCAGAATTATGCTTTTCTACAACCACCCTGGAATTCGGCCCTGAAAACTATCTTCTGTAACTCTCTGGTATGGAGTGTGATGCGGAAGTCGGAAGCCACAAGCCTCATTCATGGTACCAGCAACATCCATTTCTCAGCATGGTGAGATGAGTAGCAACAGCACAGTCTAGGGCGGGGCCGGGCTCACAACCGCGCCTGCGTCTAGCTGCTGTCACGCCTTGTTCTGTTTTCAGCTTCTACCAACCAACCCGCACTCCAGTACGCAGATGGCCGCTTTTGACAAGGAGCTGTAAAGTGGCTCCCTACCCCGTTCTGGGCCTATCACAGTGCTTCTTCAGCATGCTGGAGAGTTTCTGTTTCTGTTCCGCTCTGATCATCAGGCTGTTGGAATGCGAACCGAGAGCTTCCAGAAATGGGGTCTCTGCTGCTAGTTATGAGTATTTGAGTTGCTGTTACTTGTAAACAGCACGAATGACAATTGGCATGGAAACAGATTTCTCTAGAATGACGAGGAAAAGGCATCGCTTCATATCACAGAGCATTTAAAGCAAAGTGAAATATATCATTTTGGTCAGAGACTTACTCAAGAATACCTGAAGAAAACTGAAGTCCATGAAAAAGTTGTTGAAAGTTGTAACTGTATTAGTGCGCTACAGCTGCTGAAATAAACTGGGTGGTTTAAACAGAAACATGATGTCTTACAATTTTGGAATCCAAGGTGACCTGTCAGGAGGGTTGATTTCCCTCTGCTGTTTGGGAAGCATCAAGGTGTCCTTCCATGGCTCAGTGGCAGCCCACACCCCCTCCCTCGGTGCATATCTCTATGCCCAAATTTTCCCTTCTAGAATACCAGTCAAAACGGATTCCAGCCATCTACCCCAAAGAACTCATTTTAATTTGATTTCCTCTGCAAAGAACCTACCTCCAAATAAGTTCATATTGAGGCACGGTGGGTGAAGACTTCAACAGATAAATTTTAGGGCAGACACAATTTAACTCATAACAGAAACTAGAAACCCAGTCCCATCAGCCCTCTAACATCATTGTACAGCCCTAGTGGATGCTCATAGAGAGGTTTGTGTTTCCATCTTAAGTACACATGTAACTGTCTAGCAACATCTGTTCAATTAGCACTCAGCTGGAACTGAACATCTGTATCAGCCCCGCCCCCAACACCCCATCCTCTGCCAAAGCTCAGGGAATAACGTGGAAGAGGAGGCAGAGCTGGGAGTTCTGTGAAACACTGTCTACTGGACATGACATTACTGTTGCACCCAGGGCCTCACAGCAACAGTGGCTACCTGCATGAGACTAGTGTGTCCACGGTCCATCTTGAATGGGAGAGGCTCATAAGACCCGGCGCTTCCTTGAGTTGCTACAGGCAGTTAATGGTTGCTGGGGGAGTGTCATAATCGTCAGCGGTGTGGCCACTGGTAAACTGCCCTTGCTCAAGTCAATGGCCCATCAGCCAAGCTCACGAAGGCAACTTTAAATTCAGCAAGCCACAAAGGGAAAAAGGATCAGACGGGAAAGTAGGGGTACTTGGTGGGAGGGGAAAGGGACAGGAAAGGACAATTGGGCAGGATACAATCAAAGTACATTCTATAGAGGTAAGAAACTAAAAGAATACACTTGGAAAGTCAGTTCAACTTCAACAAATTGTTGAATACTTCTGCTGCTCCCTTCTAAAACCTTAACTCCAAGTTAAAATTACAATGCCATATACTCAAAGTGTTAAAATTCATCGGTGTTGCAAATGACTGGACACAACTAGCTACTTCTGGAAAACAGGGCTTTGGCTTGTTACTGTGATTCACATGTATCCCAACACAAGTGTCTGCCACCTGTTAGTTACTGTGACTTTATCGCCCCAAAACCACAACTCTCACCAAAAAGGCAATGAGTGTATTTTGGAGCCAAATATGAGTGATCGTGGGCCACGAACACAGGTTCAGGGTACTCCAAAACCACGTTTCAACATAACAGTTTCATAACATTATTACAGTAAATAAAAACCAAAGTCACAGGCACTTAAAAAATACAGATGGAAACACCCAGTTGGTAGCAGGCTGAGCAAAGTGGGGGTATCTCTGCTGTAAGCCTCAGATGCTATCTCGTAACATGATTAGCCTTTTGGGTGCAGGAAACTAGATGTCTGCTTGTACATTCCCAGAAGTATACCAGACAGTCTCAGAGTTATTAGGTCAAACACAGAGGTGGGCAACAAAGGGGCTAAACAGAGCTCAAGATAATTTGGTTCTGGACCTGCAACATTCCAGCTCTCCACAATAGGCTTTTAAAATATTTGACAAGGGTGTGGCATTTGGGGTTTTCTTTTTCTTTTTCTCTGGAAAGTTCAACTCATAGCTCTGTGCAAAAAAAGATCCATGATAACATTTTTATTATTGTGCCCAGTACTTGAACAAAAATGTTGCTCAACACTGGTGGTGAATATACTTTCTTTTAGCCAGGGCTGGTAGTACAGGACTACAATCCCAGCTACCGGAGAGGCTGAGGCAGGGCCCCAATTTTCAAGTCCTGCCTCTAGGGTAGACTGAGTTGAAGGCAAGCCTGTATAATTTAGGGAGACCTTTCTCAAACTAAAATTTGAATTTATTTTTATTTTATGTGTATGAGTGTATTATCTGCATGTATGAATGTGCACCCATGCCGTGCAAAGCTCAGAGGCCAGAGGAGGACATCGGATTCCCTGGAACTAGAGTTAAGAGATGGCTGTTAGCTGTCATGTGGGTACTGAGATCTGAACCCAGACCCTCTGCAAGAGCAGTGGTCTTAACTGCTGAGCCATCTCTCCAGCCCCCTCAAACTAAAATTTCAAAGGACTGGGGATACAGCTCAGCAGTACACCGCATGTCCACCATGTTTGAGACTGTAGGTTCAATCCTCACCTGTGTATGAATCGTGGTTTGGATATTTTCTTTCAAGACAGGGTCTCCCTATAGCCCAAGCTGGCCTTGCTCTCAGAGATCCCCCTGCCTCTGTCACTGGAGTACTGGAATTAAGGTATGTAACATCACTCAGTCCAAAAGACAGGTTTTTTGTTTGCTTGTTTCTGAGTTTCATGTAGCACAGGCTAGCTTTAGAACTCCTGATCCTCCTGCCTCTATCCACCACCCAAGTGTTGGGATTACAGGTTTATGCCACCATGCCCACTGAGAATTAACTTTTAAAAAATTTATGTGCATGTTTTGCCTGCATGTATCTAAGTACACCCATGTCATGCAATGCCCACAGAGGCCAGAAGGTGTAGGATCCCCTGGAACTGGAGTTATGGACGATTATCAGCCACCATGTGAGTGCTGGGAACTAAATCCAGGTCCTCTGCAAGAGCAGCCAGCGCTCTTAATGGCTGAACCATATCTCCAATCTGTCTTAAAACACACACACACACACACACACACACACACACACACACACAATTTTGACACCAGGATTCTGTTTGGAAAAAAATAACTCACTCTTCTGAAGTACAGGAGTTCCAAACAAGTCTACAATGGTGACCAGAAAATGGCTTCACATAAGCTATCCCTCCAATCTATGGTCGAGTCTCTGCTTCCGGGCCTATCACGATGCAAACTGAGCTGCTGGGCCATGGGTTCCCAGCCACCATGCACCGAACCTTCAAACTGTGAGCAAAAGTAATTCCTCTTTACAGTTGCCAAGTTTCTGGTCAGAGCTCCACAAAACAAACACAGGAACTTTCAACACAACTTTCCTACCTCCATACTTGTCTCATTTAGTTATCTTTCGTAAGAGTCTATGAGGGTGGAGTTCAAAAGCACTAGTTTGGAGGGACTGAAATAATGAACACAATGAATACATTTTATCCTACTCATTAGATGGCATCAACTTTTTTATGAGAATTTAAGCAGATAGTGTACAGACAGAGGAGCCTGGTTACATCTGTTCCAATTCCCCAGGAGATCTCCCTGCCCTGATAAACGTTCCTTCCACTTAAGCCAGTTTGGATCAAAGAGGCCAACTGACTTAGTGCAGGCTAGTAAACAATTTCCCTGGGAACAAAGACTTGTATCTAAGAATCCAACAATAATCTGACTTTTCCTTAATACCAAGAGATTATAGATACCATCTGTCACATGCACCAGGAAACAGAAAAGTCAAGTTCAGTGAAAGATTAGGAAGGATGGGCAGGAGGAAGGCAATGTCCTAGTTCCTCCAGTGTTCAGTCTTCGGTCTGTAGGTTCTGGAAACCAAGTTGTATTTCTGACTTTGGGTTCTATAAGCCTCTACCATGTCACCACTACGATAAACCCCCCCCGCTCTGTTTGCTTAGGTGAGTTTTTATCACCTGCAACCAAAAACACTGTTAAAATACATCTTGTCTTTAAAAGAACACACAAGGTCCACTTCATATTGGAAAAGTATTTATTATGACAAAAATAAAAGTGGAGTGAAAACAAATGAATGTTACACTATATTGCACCATGATTGCAAACGAGCCAAAACCTGTCTAAAAGAGGAACATTCCAGAGTAAACTGCATCCTTTTACTTAGGTAGGTAGGCATGCAAACAACTCATTAGAACATAATTGCAGAAATTAAAAAAAAAAAATCACGAGTATGACCTAACATTTAAAAGAAGCATTTCATGAGAGTAAAGAAGTATTGAAATTCAAAACACATGTCTTTAACAACCTCACCATCAGAACAATCTTAGAACCACTTGCAAGAAGTGATGATGGAAAATGCCACCACCACTTGCTTTTACACTCGCTTGTGCCAGTGCACGTGTTAAACCAGTGGCACACATTGCAGTTGCCTGGGGTTCAGAAGCAGTTTGTGGCATGAAATACATTTTCCCCCCTCCTATAAATACCAAGGGGACCATGAAGAGATCAAACTCCTAATTTTGACCTTATTAATATCTTCTATGTGACCGAGCTGGTTATCAAAGATATCATCAGAGTATTGGCATGAAGCCTGAGACATGAAAGATAATTAATATTCAGTCTTATGAAATGAACGTAAATATGAACATACATTTAAATAGTTTTACAATCTGACGCAAGGAGTATATTGAACACAGGGCCAGTTTCCTCTTTGATGTTCGAAAGCACCAATTTCTATGAAGATGGCGGCATGTGTTAGTCATTAGACTCCCACTACCATAACTGCACAGCAAGCCTGCAGCTTGGAGTCTTTGCTTTCCCACCTTAAACAATGCTCTGTGGTACGGATGAGCACGGTGAAATGGATAACCATTCCACAACTGGGAAAAGTCATGACCATCATTTTATTTCATCATTTCAATAAAATAGCAGCTGAGCTTTTCCAAAACCAAAATGAAAAGTTTTCACACTAGATTGAAAGTTTACTACGAGAGAATAAAAAAGGAGCCACAGAGTCCCCCAATTTCCTGAACAAAAGAATAAGATTAAAATGACTACAATGTCTCATGGCCACAGTAAAAACATGCAAACAAATCACATGCCACTGGATCACATGGTGATCATTTGCTGCCCGAGCAATACTAACAGACAGTCATGGTATACCACAACCAATCACCACACAATACTGACAGACGGTCACAGTATACCACAACCAGTCACCGCCACGAAGGACTTTTCCTTTATAGTATTTAATTAACTAACTATGGGCTAAGCATTTGCTCAAGTGCTTTAATGAAAACCACATGTGAATTCCACACCTGTTAGCCTTTCTGGTGGTAAATAACAAAAGCTCCAAGGGGCACTGAAGCCTACCAGTGTGGATTCAAATGCAGTCTAGGTGAAGGGGGGCTTAATGTAAGGTACGACACCCCACCAACTTGAGCAGAGCACCTTATGGACTGAAAAGTGAGGTAATTTTTTTAAAATTAAATTTGACAAGTTGTGCAAGAACACATTTGCATTAAGAAGCTTAGTTTTCTATATCCAAATCTGTACACAGCATGTTGTATTATTTCTCCATTTCCAGTAGAAAATGTGGACTACTGGTTTTTAAAAATGCAAAAGATGCCGGGCGTGGTGGCGCATGCCTTTAATCCCATCACTTGGGAGGCAGAGGCAGGCAGGTCTTTGTGAGTTTGAGGCCAGTCTGGTCTACATAGTGAGTTCCAGGTCAGTTGGGGCTACAAGGAGACCCTGTCTCAAAAAAAGAAAAAAAAAAAAAAAAAAAGCAAAAGATGCCTCTGTGTAACTACAGCTCCAAATTCTAAATGCTAATGCATCTTTGGGCTTCTGAACCCTATTAAATACAATACAGACCACCTGGTTCTACAATAAACAGCTAGAACGTTGAGTGCCTTAAATGCAAGGATGGAGAAAAGTCAATATTCTCCCATTTGTATTTCCTCATCAAGCTTTTGAAGACTGCACTACATGAAGTTTGTCTAATTTTAAGTTTGTTTCTACGGATGCCTCTAAACCTCCAAATTAACATTTTCTAAACATTTCATCAAGTATACAATTAAAGTCAATTTTAGGTCCAACTGAACTTTTCTACTTTAACTTTATGTGTATGTATGAATATATTGCCTGCATGTATGTAAGTGCTCCTGTGCCCGCAGAGGCCAGAAGAGGGCACTGGATCCCTGGAACTGGATTTCCAGGCAGTTGTTAGCCACCATGTGGGTGCTGGGATTCGAACTCAGGCCCCTGCAAGAGCAGTTAGTTCACTGCTGAGCCATCTCTCCAGCCCCTGAACTCTTTTCTTACTTTAAATTTGAAGTGGAATAACAGAATCCCCCTGTACCCTTTGCTTTCATTCTGCTGACCTGTACTTTAGCTTTATTCACCTAGAATTCTCAAAAATACATCTTTTTAGAAACCTGACTCAGGTTTCAGTCCTTCACACTAATATTTTAAATGAATAAAGATGTGGCCGTACTTTGACTATGAAGCACTTCACGCATAGGCAGACATCTGTGAAACAAAGTCCTGGCTGTACTACTCTTTCAGCATCAGAAAGCAGTGTTTCGAATGCCTTCTAGAGGCAATAAACAGAGTCAACCAATCACTCCCGGCCAACTAGCAAAATCGGAAAACTAAGGAGGGTAAATTCTCTAGAACAGTATTTCCAACATACCCTGGTATTAGTTTAATGTCATTCCCTAGTGAATATGGCTTTTTTTTCTTTTGCACTGTCACTAGCTAGTAATTCAGTTTAAATGGAAGAGCAGTTAAAAATGGATACTTGTTCCCTACTTAATTGCATTAATACACTTAAGTGATGAGCGTGGGACTCAAACTGAATAAAATGATGTAAATTCAGTATTACATGCACTTCCCTTTAAAAAATATTAGTAGTAGTATAAAACGGTTCAGACTACTAAAATCAAAAGACGTACTTGAGCATTACTTTCCCTAAAAGTTCCTCAGTACAAGAACAACAAAGATAAGGCCACAAACAGTAAATGTCTTGGGTCAACTTGATAAATGGGCAATTAAAGATTCGAATCCAGTTCTTTGGACAGTCAGCACAATGCTCTACAATACAAGACAACATGCTGCATCCTGAATAATTCTACCGTGACAAAAGGAAGAGAATCTTTTAGAATTGAAGTTTAGATGTGTGAGGAACTTGGTTCCAAAGCCATAGATAAAAAGTTGGACTCAAAGCTGGTCTATGAAGTTAAATGGCAATGAAAACCAACCAGAGACATACCACCAGTACGCTTTCTCATGTGTGCTTTTCCAAAGCTGAGCATTAGAGTGCCTTCAGTCCATAATTCATCCTAAGATATGAAATCAAAGACTTAACAGTTTTTATTTTCTTGAAAAATTTCTTTACTGTGAGATGACACAGCATCAGAGAATATGTTTTTAATACTGCGTGTCTCACTGTTTCCACAGGAAGTAACTGTGTTCTCTTTCCACTCTATGAAAATTAAGCTGTATTTAATCAAAATGACTATGTAAGTCCAGAACTCAGGATGCAGAGGGAGGAGCATCATGAGTTGGAGTTCAACCGTGGCTGCTGGAGAGGCCCTGTCTCAGACTGTTCCCCCACTTTAAAAACTGATATGGCTGGGGGGAGTGTCGCTTAATTTTTTTCTTTTAATAATGAAATGTGTATATAGTTCCTCGAGTGAATACAGAATAAAAGTAACTACTATTCCTTTAAGCATATTACACAAAAACCTAAAGCAAATATTACATATTTAATTCTCAATTTTCAATAAATTTTATATATATATATTAAATTTTCAGGTTTTAAGGAATTAAATTACATTAATAATAAAAATACTTAGCACAACCTCTTACAAAAGTGACTGTTACTTCTAAAACAATTCTCAAATGCGTTTTAGTAAGAACGACGGGTTTCTAGGTGAAGAACATGACGTGTTTGGATGAAGAAAACCAACATATTTAAACTTGCAAGGGCAGCATTTTACAGTTTTGTTCTAGCATACTGAGAAGAATTTAGTTAAAACTTAATTTCTTTATTTTCTAATTAAAAATAAAATATAATCTGAAGGTAAAGCAGTGGATTCCCTATTTTCTACGATCGAAACTTCGCTAAGTAGCATGGAAAGAGTATGTGAAACACAAATCCCTCCCATCCAACTAGCTGCTAATCTGATTTCTAAAGAACGCAGTAAAACACTGAGAACCTATCTCAAAATAAGAATAAAGGCACCAATCATAAATTTAATTTGTCATCAAATATTATTTTACAGTCAGCTGATTCACAATGAACAGTCAAGTCAATGCTTGGTTCGAAACATTTTCCTGGAATAAAAGCTAATCAGTCTGCCTTCTCTTACTGTAATCAGAAGATTTGATGAAAACCTTTTCAAAGCCTCACAGGAACTCCCTAACAGACTCCCCATCATTGGCACAGTGTCCACTTGAATGCCGACTTCATTTTCAAATAGCTAACATATTTTTTGCTTCTAATCCAAAACTAATCATATGCTTTTAAAAAAGGATTTAAAAAATAAAATTGTATTTTAACAATTAAATAGCAAATTTGAGTCTATACTAGTAGCTGTTTGACAAAATACAATCAACTATTAAAAACACTTTCAATATAATGCTGATGTGGTAATATAAAAAATAACCATATAATCTGATAGAAGAAATTGAACCAGCCCATCTTATTAGAAACAAGAAGGCAGGTAATTATTTCATAAGAAATATTGGGCTATTAAATATGCTTTTTCTCAGAATAGGCTTATGAGAATGATATTTATAATTATGTTAAACAGTACAGTGAAGGAGAAATTCAGGCAGAGTGTGCTTTAGGTAAATGGTGTTTTCCTAATCCCCTTCCCCATCACACAAATACAAAGCATTCACAGTGATTTACATCTGCTCTTCTCTCTCATTCTTGATTATGAATTATATTCAAAACACACAAAAATAACGAAACTTGTCCTCTACTTGATACAGAATCACTAAAAAAAAGGTTCAAAGTAAGTTAAAACAACCATTTCTCAAAGTTCGGAAAATTTTCCTCTGGTCACTTTTTCAGTTCAAGGGTTCAAACACTAATAAAAACATTACCCAATAAATTAACTAAATAAAGAACACCTTGAAACAGCAAAATCTAAACCAACTTACAAACAAAATGAAATTAAAACACCACTCTGGAATAGGTGTTTTTGAACACTGAAACTTACTTCTGAGCCAAATAAAAAATACTGCAAAACTGAAGAATTAGCCCTAAGTATACATTTTATCCCTTTTATTACAGCAAAATGACACATTTGAATAAACAGGATTGAAATGGCAATACTTGTCTCCCCTCTTAATTTAAGCTATCCACTTTTAGTTTTCATGTTAAGACAACTGCCTTGAGAACTTTTGAATACTACCTAATAAACTGATACTCTGACCTTTTCCTTCATTTTAATAATTAATAAAATGACTTGTTAAGCTGTTAAGAATAGGAACTGTCTCATTGTAATATTCTAAAAGCTAGTGTTAAATTCAGCAGTATCCTATAAGATTTTAAGACTAACTACAAAGACAGCAACCATTCCAAGCCTATTTTATAACATTCTCAACCAGATTTAAGGACAAGCTCAGGGTTTTCATTTTTCAGTAATCTGCCGCTGGTGATAGAAATGCCACAGGGGATACAATTACCTATTTTAAGAAATAAAAAGAAATATGGGTATGGGTCTGCTTCAGTGGCTGCTTAAAGTAGTTGTGATGTCTCTGACACATACAACAGATGAAATTTTTGCTGCTAACAGAGTAGTATGTAAACAGTAAAATATATTCCAAGTGTCCTACTTTAATTTCATGTTGGTGTGCTTTAGCAAATTCTCAGTTATATATGCACTGAAAAATGTGACAATCTTAAAATATCAAATGGAGTTGATGATTTCCATCGAAGCTGAGCTTTCAAATACATATTTCACCTTGATTAGCTTTTGACCAGATGTCAGCAGAAAAGTAAATTCCTTAGATAAATAAACAGACTACTTAATTTCCATGCAAATAGCAACTTGAAATTATCCTATGACATGCAGTAAGGTGAAGGAGGTTGAAAGGCAAGAATTCATGTTAATCTTCCATATATGTGTGTCTTCTAGGTAGATTTTCTTCTTTATAATTAATTCTGTCCAAAGGATAAAAATGGTTTGCAGAGAGAAAATATTTGGTGCTGGAGAAGTGGTATCTGATGCTTTCTATGACCGTGCTGACCAACCAGCAATGACCTGGGAGGGAAAGAGGAGGTGGTGGCCAAGAACCGAAAGAAACTAGTTGTAAAGGACATAACAATACTTTAGATAAGATTAAAATATGACAAACAGTTTTTACAAGGCAGTCACCGAATAATTAGAATAAGCAGTCAGAAGAATTCTGTTGCTGAAAACAGTTACACATTATGTTCATCCAACTGAAGATTAGTGCATTGAAAACAAAGGTAAGAAAACACCTTTTCTGTTCCAGCACAGCTGCACTTGATTCAAGTGTTGCTCATAGAGGTTTGTGTTGTTATAAATTAAACATGCTGCTGCCTCAGCAGCCAAAGGTATTAGGAAAAATGTTCATGTCACAAAATAAATAGAGAAGTCTTTTTTGAGCAAATAATTATCTCACACCAATCCGGGAGGTCATCCATTCCAGACCTTGGCACAACCTAAACAAAGGACAGAAGTATTTTTGAAATTAAAAACTTTCTGCTGAAAAACTGAAACCACACTAATCAACTTTAAGTCTTACCTAAAAGTTAGTGCTACGATCATTATTTATATATAATAGTGACAACCTTTGTTTAAAAAGGAAAAGAAATGGGGGGGGACATATTCATGTAGCCTAGACTGGCCCAAATTCCCTATTCAGGGGTAATCATGAACTTCTGATCCTGCTGCCTCATACCACCCCCAAGTTCTGGGATTACAGACCTGACCACCACACCTAGTATATGTAGTGCTGGGGATGAAACTCAGGGTTAGTGTATGTGAGGCAAATGCTTGGTCTATCAACTGAGCTACATTCCCAGCTGCCATTAGTGACAACTTTCAATTAACACTAAGTAGAATTTTAAAGATTCACTTTTATTAAACAATTGTAAATAAATTGTTCTTAATCACTTAAGAGTGGCAAATTGCTTTTCATCTTAAGATTCAGCTTTGCTCATTTTATATCAAGATTGTAAATATTAGCCCTTGCCCTTAAAATGAACCGAACCCACTATTTAAAAAATAGCACAAACCCTTATTCCCCTGATTTCTAAGGAATGGAAGGTTAAAGGGTCTTTAACAACCAGCTATTATAGTGCAAAGTATTTTGAGTATAAGAAAAACTAAGTAGCATGATCGACAAGAGGATTCCAGGCATCAACCAGGCAGTCCACATACAACACACAGGCCTGGCCTAAGATCACATTCAAGTTCTACTCTAAGAGTCAAATGTGTCAGAAGTATCCCTTCCCAAAGGACTCTTGACGGTAAAGGGGGTGTGTTGCTATAGAAAATTTAGAGATTAGTTAAGTCCTTTTAGAAAATGTGTAATTTCCTTAAAGCTTCTTTAGTTCAGGTGACATTATAATTCTATCTAGTAAGTAAATGACGAGAGCAACAGATGCGTAAAAACCTGAATCATGAACATTTTATTCCAAAGCTTATCACGTCTTCTTTTTAACACTACATTTACATTAAGAATCATATAAAGAACTTGTCAATAATTTGTTCACTAAAATACTTCCATCTTCTAAGTATCAGAAAAGACATAAAACCATCTCTAAGAAAAACAATAAAAGGAACAAGGACCAGTAGGCAAAAGAGTTGGGCTAAAAACATAACAGGCATTTGAGAGGAGGCTAGGCCTGCCTGGACTGGGCCTGCCTGGACTGGACCTACCTGGACTGGGCCTGCCTGGACTGGACAGCACTTACCCTTCTCCTGTCAGAGCGCAGCAGGACTGGATGTGCCAAGGGTGGTCCTTAATTGAACTAAGGGTGAGGTATTTAGAGATCTCAGCCGCTGTCATACACCCTTTCATATCCTGTTTATTTGCAAAGATAAGGACCGCAGCCTTCCTTAAATCCTGCAACCAATACAAAACATTGAAATATGATGCATGTGAAGTATCACAAATCTAAGTACTACATGGACTATCATAACCAAAGTAAACTGCGAAGCAGCAGGATAAAATACAGCCAGCTAGCCAGTTACAGTGAAAGGCCTCTGTTTAAAAACAATCAGGCATGAACATTTAAAAACTTTACTGAAATAAAAACCATCTTAAATTACAATTTGATGATTCACCACTCTAGAAAAGCGTATGTGTAAGTCAGAGGATTGAAAGTTATTTTTTACTTTTGGACCAAAGGGAGATCAAATTAAAAGAAAACAAGCCTAAGCTTCAGTACTGACTATGTGAGTGAATAATGGGGGTACCACAGAGGTGGGAGCAAGGCAACACCTTATTGGCCTTCACATGACTTGGGCTCACACTGTTCACTGCAGCATTTTCTAAATAATCGAACCATTAAAATAATTGAAAAGAACAGATCAACGGCAATATACAGGGACATACTATTACTTTTACATTAATTTATTCTCATTTTATGTGCATGAATGTTTTGCCTGCATGTATGTAAATGCACCTATCATGCAATGCCTGTGGAGACCAGAAGAGGGTGTCAGATCCCCTGGAATGGGAGTTGCAGATGGTTATTAGCTGCCATGTGAGTGCTGGGAACTGAACCTGGGTCTTCTGCGAGAACAGCCAGTGCTCTTAAAACACTGAGTCATCTCTCTAGCTCCTATATTACTTTTTAAAATGAACTTCAGTTATGTGTATAGCATGGCTGAATCTCAAACGCTTACGATGCTGGTGGAAATGAAAACTAATGCAGCCACTAAGAAAGACAGGATGAAGGTCCCTGAGGACACTAAAATGTAGCTATCACATGAGCCACTATGCCATTCCTGGTATAGCTCCCAAGAATTCCAAATCAACATGCCACAGAGATATATGCACATCAGTTTACTGCTGCACTGATCAGCAAAGGCTAAGAAATGGAACCAGCCTAGATTCTACCAGCAACTGAATGGATACATATTTGTGATGACATTTTTTCAACTATGAAGAAAATAAAGTATCAGCTTTTTAGGGGAAATGGATGGAACTGGAGATGATTTGTTAAGAGAGATAAGTGAGCTGGCTGGAGAGATGGCTCAGAGGTTAAGATCATTGGCTGCTCTTGCAGATGACCCAGGTCTGACTCCTAGGACCCACATGATGGTTAACAATCATTAGTAACTCCAGTTCCAGGGGAAACAGATGCCCTCTTCTGACCTTTTCAGGTACTGCATGGCACAGATGCAGTTACATACACACAGGCAATATACTCACAAACATAAAATAAAAATAATAATAAAATATTTTCTTAAAAAGAGAGATTAGCGAGACTCAGGACAAATATGTTTTTCTCCCTATCATGATATCTTTTCTAGCTTCATGAATACCCCTACCTCAGTGAATATATATGGTAGGGTGTTCATGAAACTAGAAAAGAGATCATGATAGGGAGAAAAAAATCAGATCTTAAGGGAGGAGAAAGGAAGGGAGAGAAAAAGAAAGCAATAGAATACATGTGCTATGAAAGCAAAAGGTAGGACTACCTGAAGGAAGCCAACCAGAAAGAAGGGGTTAGGGCTGACGAAGGAAGGCAGTAGGTCAGGGAAAGAACAAAGCACCACAACATGTACATGTTCGAAAGTGCCATCATCGGGGCTAGAGAGATGGCTCAGCAGTTAAGAGCACTGGCTGCTCTTGCAGACGGCCCAGGTTCAATTTCCAGCACCCACACGGCAGATAACAAACATGTGTAACTCCAGTTCCAGGGGATCTGACGCCCTCTTCTGACCTCTGTGGGCACTGCACGGCATGAGTACACTTACACGTGCAGGCAATACACTCATACAGATAAAATAAAAATAATATTAAAAAAAAGAAAATGCCAATATGAACTTACTACTTTGTATGTTAATACACAATTTTTTTTTTTTTTTTTTTTTTCTTTTTTGGCAGGGTCTCCCTGTAACCCCCGCTGTCCTGGAACTTACTGTGTAGACCAGGCTGGCCTTGAACTCACAGAGATCCGCCTGCCTCTGCCTCCTGAGTGCTGGGACTACAGGCGTGAGCCACCACGCCCGGCTCACAAAATTAATATTTATTTTTTGTTTTGGGTATGAATGTTTTGCCTACATGTAAGTAATTGCATTACATGTATGCCTGGTGCCCACAGAGACCTGAAGAGGGTATCAGATATTCTGGAACTGGAGTTATAGGTGGTTGTTAGCCACCATGTGGGTGCTGGGAACCAAGCCTGAGTCCTCTACAAGAGCAGCCAGTGCTCTTAACTGCTGAGCCATCTCAGCCCCAAACAATGAAATTTAAAAATCTCAAATGTGAAAAGTACACATTATAGAATTACAGAAAGATAATAACATCAGTTTTTAAGAAAACAATATAGAATTTTACAAAACATACACACATTAACATGTAATGAACACATACAAGTGCACACAAAGATATCATCGCTCTATTTAGGATATCAGATCAGCTCTCCTAACAAATTTTGTGCCGATGGTAAATGTGTGCATGAATATGTTTTACTATCAAGGTTTTAAATATCTCAAATACATATAATTAAGTGATCTCAAATTCATTAAAGTTATTATAAACTCTTGGGGAAAAGACATTTGAATTTTATTGTGTTCTTCCCCCATTATTCTTAATTTATCAAATTTTAAAGGCACACATAAGGGGCTAGAGAGATGGCTCGGTGCTTAAGAGCACTGGCTGCTCGTGCAAGACACCTGGGTTTGAGTCCCAGCACCACATGGCAGCTAACAACCATCCACAACTTCAGTTCCAGGGGATCTAACACCTGATCCTGACCTCCACAGGCATTGCATGACACAGATCCACCTTTGTACATGTAGGCAAAACAGTCATACATATAAAATAAAAATAATAAACAAAAGCACACTAAGTAGCTTTAACCTTGAAGAAAATCTCAGCAGTTGTGAATAGTTACATCTTACAAACTAACATTAGCTTCTTAAGTTTGAAAAAGTAACGTAATTTTTATTGTTAAACTCAGTTAAGACAGCTTAACACATGAAGTTTTGCTTATGATGAAAATAACCAACACTCACACTAATTTCGACATAAAAATAAAGTGAACACACAGATTAACTTATTCCATCATCTTTAAAGACCTGCTTTTAAGATTTACCTCATGAGCCAACATCCTGTACAGCTCTTCTTTTGTGATGGCGAGCCGCTCCCTGTCGATGCTATCAACAACAAGAATGATGAACTACAACACAAGTCCAAAGCCAAGAGAAAATTAGTGGAATGCTAACTTTCTGCAAAGCTACTGATGTGATGCAAGTATTCTCACAGGACAGCACCATAACTAAGCAGGTAGCACTACTTTTTAAATCTTAGCGCTTAAGAATGAACACATCAGGCGGGAAAATCCAAATGCCATTCAGAAACTTGTAACTTCAGAAAATAAAGGCTATGACCCATCTAGCTTTTTAAATTTTTACATCAAAACAAGAATTTAATACTTTCTCATTAAACTTCAAGTATTCACTCTATCATCCATTTTGACAATGCTAATGTATAGGGTCTTCTGCCTTTTTAATAGATGAACATATTATTAAAAAAACAATGAATAAGGTATTTTTACAGAAGATATATCAATAGTAAATGCTCAAGAAAAAATATGCCAATTTGTGCTAACTTATCTATACTAGCATGATACAGGTTAAAGATACAGGTGAAACTAGAAAAAGGCAAGAGAGCCAGAAAAACCAGAGAAATTTCTATGCATGTGTGTGCATGCTCATGAAAAATACAAGCAAATTCAAAAACAAATACAGGCAATTTCGCTAAGTAGAAACAAGGAAGTAGTGAAAAATAGCTACTACACCAAACACCATGGAGAAGAAAGGGTTAAAAAATAAGATTAAATAGTGGGAGAGTGATATAAAAACCAATTGGGACAGGAAGTTGGAGGATAACCCTAAAATTAGGGAAAGCCAATTAGAGTAATCTGAATATAAATGAGGAGGGCTTATCAGGAGATAAAAAGAGAAAGGACAGAAGCTGGGAAGAACAGTGGGTTAATGAGGTAGGTACCAGTGATCAACACCTGTAACTCTCTGTATTACAATGGAGATTTTAGCTTTAGAACACCATCTCAAAGTAAAGAATTTTCTCAATGCAAGAAGACCAGGGTGAACACGATTAGTGAAATACCACCCATGTACCTAGAATCTAAGTCTGCAAATGGCGGGCCATACTGGTGTGCAGTAATTGTGATATACTTGTAGAAATGGTACATGAGACATTTAATGTAAACGGCACCAGTAATAAAGTGTCTCATTTTAGACCCAGGCTAAGTCTTCTATATTGATAACAACTTCAAAAACCACCCTTTTGAAATGCTATTAAGTACACACAGATCGGTTTGGATCACCTCTGACCTATTCATGTACAGGAACTGCATTTCTTCCTAGCTGGAGTAAGCTGAGGGCATTGCAAATAAATTTTGAAAGAAGTACCGATGCTCTTTAAATCCGTCAGATGCTAAGATGCTGTTACTCCCTCACTGTGTAACGAGTATTTTCCTGTACAATGCATCCTAAGCTGGCTGATTTGTCACCAACGTCTTCCATCCCTCTCAACCTTCCACAGAGAAAATAGTTAAGTGCTATTAGGGGTGCAGTATGGTGGGATGTTATTCTGGATTACTTACATACTGAATTAGAGTAGACTATATGCACATATACAAGACATGCTATTACAATGTCGATAAAAAAAATACACATTTTTTATTTAAAATGGCAACTATGTGCTCCAAAAATTCTTTGTATTATATCTTCTCCAAACTCCAATTTTACAAAATTTCTTTACAGAAAACATAATTGGTTAGATATACGTCCTTACAAAGAAAAACTGCATGGACGCAACTATATGCTACAACTCTAAAAGATGAAACTCAAAAGCCATTAAAAGATCTGCCTCTCAGGCCTGTGAGTTCCAGGCCAACCTGGTCTACAGAGTAAGTTGCAGTCCAGCTGAGGCCACAGGGTCTCCCTGTCTCAAAGGCCAAAAAAAAAAAAAAAAAACCAAACCAAAAAAACAACAACAAAAAATCTACCTCTAGGTAGAAACAAACAGAAATGGAAGATAATACAGACTTATTCCCCAAGTTGGCACTGAATTAGTAACTAGTAAGTACTAAGAAAAAAAAGACATTCTGGAAACCGTTCCTCTATGAAGCTCTGGAGACATCCTCTATGCAGAATTTCTCATGCCTGTGCCAGGACCCCTGCACAGCAGTACACTCATCTCTATGAACTAATGCCCACCGCTATATTCTCTAGTCGCCTATTCACGGGCTGATTTCCTCTCAAACTTAGTGATGAGAGCACTGCAAACTGTTCTTTGACATGTAGCAAGTGTTTGTAGAGACTAATATATTCAACATGGCTTCTCTTGCCATGGTCTTCTATTTTTAAATTTTACTTTATTTTTAACACAGGCAATCCCTTCCCATGGTTCAAAATTCACAATAAATATATAGTAGAAATTCTATATTCTTCGTTTTTCTCTACTCCAGAAAAAAAAAATAAAAATAAAAATAAAAATTTTAAAGGAGGAGTTAGAGAGGAGGCTCAGCAGCTAAGGAGCACTGGCTGTTCTTGTAGAGAACCCAGGTTCAATTCCCAGGGCCCACCTGGTGGCTAATAACTACCTGTAACTCCAGTTCCAAGGGATCTGATGCCCTCCTCTGGCCTCCACAGGCACGCACGTGGTGTACTTAACATACATGCAAGCAAAACACATACATAAAATAAAAATAAATAAAATCCCAAAAACAATTAAGTGACAGTGAATGCTGGGGATAGACTGGAAACCTTTTTTTAAAAAATATATATCCATTAATTATATCTCAAAATCTAGCATTTTTTTAAAAAATCTTAAATTATTTTATCCTTTTCCTAATCAGGTCCACTGTAAAGTTCTAACATCTTAGGAAAAGTTCTGCAATTTCGAGTAGTGTCAAATTTCTCCAACACTTGGAGCTATGAAGCCCTACTATGAGGATGAACAGAGCACCTGCCTGACACTCAGCTGAGCACAGCTCTGGGCCAGGCACAGTGGTGCGCACCTGCAGTCCCAGTATTCAGAGGATCACTGCAAGTTCCAGGCCAGCCTGATCTATATAGAAAGTTCTGTGCCAGCCGGACTTATACAGTGAGACAGTGTCTTAAACAAAACTCACTCCTCCCAATACCCTTCCTACCTGCCTTTCTTCTTCTGTGAGAAAATTGGAATTCCTTACAAAAAAGGTCTTATTAAAAGTCAACTATTAATATGCCTGATTTATAGCATAACTTTAATGTTTACTCTTTCATTCTTCTGTTAATTAAAATTTCAAAGTAATTTTGGCATACCTCTGTGTTTGAGTAATAGGTGTTCCAGGATGACCGCAGAGACTCTTGACCACCAATGTCCCACATAAGGAAATGAGTGTTCTTCACAACTATTTCTTCAACATTACTTCCTATGGTTGGAGAAGTATGAACCACTTCATTCATCAAGCTGTTGAAAGACACCATTAAAATGTTTTATAAATCTTCACAAATCTGTATCTGTAAGATAAATCAACCTTCCTTATTTATACCAATGGTTGTAATCACTAGCATGAAAAAGAGAAACTTAGAGATTGTCTGTGTAAACAAAGACGTAGGCAGAGAACGACCCCTGAGGACTGTATTCTGCTTTTTCATGCAATGAACTGCAGGCTTGACACAAGTAGAAGGGGCGCTATGATGTCTGAGTTTGCTTTTCTGGGGGAAAAATTCTAGTACCACCGCAGTGTTTTAACTTAGATGAGAACCAATGCCCCATCTTGACAGTAATCTCTAGGTGTCTGTGACACCAATAGTTGCAAAGTGTGTGTGTGTGTGTGTGTGTGTATAAATATAAAACTGGGTAATAGTGCACACATCATTCTGCTGAATGGCTATGTGAGCAAGGTGAGACTTAGTCATTAAAAACTAGTTCAGGTTTACCAACCTATGCTCTTAGAGGATAAGGCCACAGGCAAACAGAACTTTTATTTAAAATGAACTCTAGGTCATCTGGAATACCAATTCTTTTATTTCTTGTGGTTTCTTAATGGTTAGTTAAGTTACTTTAAATAATTCATTAAACATGTATTTGCTAATAACATTCTAATACTGTATGCTTACAATTTTCTCTGGGGTTTTACATGTTGTACGTTGGAAGCTATATACAAGACGTTCATCAAAAATGAGAAGTTTCAGAGACATTTAAATTTTAGACCGAATACCAAGCCAGACCAAAATACACAGGAAATGTCAATGAATGAAAAGGTTCCAAAGAAAAATAATGACGCAACTTGAAACAACAAAACATAAGCAGCAACCTTTTAGCAAAGTAACTAAAAAATATGTTAGGCATTCATTGAGTATTTTCCTCAAGCTGAAGATGGTTTGTTTTTTCTTTTCCTTCTGTAGTGTAGGGACTGAGCCCAGTTTGCTCATGAATGCCAGGGCCATGCTCTACTGCTATCACCCAGTTCTTAAACTGGAGCATTTAGACACAAGATGAGGTGAGAGAAGGTTAAGAGCCATGTAATTTGTTAAGCTTGAGGTCTCCATTTCCATAGCTGAACATTCATCTGGCACTGAAGGGAGATGGAAGTCCTTGGGTAGTGATTGATGGGGTGTTAATATTTTATTGAAGATGAGCATTAATGTACTTCTCCAAAAATGTTAAGGCCCTCCCTTCTGAAAGCTACTGAAGTAGACTTTTAACCGCCATCACTTTAGACACGTCTGCTATGTTAAACAATTCCAAAGCTATTAGGAGAGCAGCAGCTTTTCAGAGATTGCAATCTATTCATGTGAATCTCATTGTGGGAAGACTGAAGTGAGATTCACTTTATCACCTCACTCCAAGATTATAATTTGCACTTTATTTATTTTAGTCTAATATTAAAGTTCATTCTTCCTTCCAAAGCCAGAAAGCAAGAGTATTTGATGAAGGCTTTAGCGGATATAGGCAGTTTACTTTTTTATTTCATAAAACATAACCCCTATGTTTCCAACTGATTACTATGGGTGAGGGAGGGTGGATCTTCTTTAAGGGAGTGACTCTAGTGACTAGACTCCAGTGGATGAACTTGTACCAGGGGCATCTGGGCACACATGCTTGACTGGATAGGCCTTAACATACATGACAGAATACATGAACTCTGGTAGGGGGACATAGGTGGGTGTCAGTGGGGAGGGGTGTCTAAATTTGATTAAGATCTATTATATGAAATGCACAAAAATTCAATAAAATATGTATTTAAAAACCTGTACGTTTAAGTCTTACTATTGTATTATAAAATGAGTAAAAATGGAATCTCCTAACTTATAAAAACAGACTTCTTAAAAACCTACAGCAATACTTACAACTGATAAAGAATGGTGGTTTTCCCTGCATTATCCAGGCCCACTATAATTACTTTGTGCTCTACAAGAAAGAAAGAAAATTACAGTAAACATTTATACAATTGCAAGCTACACTTACAGGCTTTCAATAATTATTAGCTGGCTCATTAATGAGAACCACTGAGTAAGCATCTACTACCGAACTGTTAAGGGAAGAAGCTTTATGGAGTTAAAGGCCTTCCTTAAGTGAATCTGCCCACTGTGATGCTCTACGCAGTCCCCAGTAAGTGTTTAGGAATGAGATCCGTTAGCAAGAAGCATAGACCTTGGTCATGTATGAGTTGAGGGATGGAGGTCACTCAAGTAATAATCTAGACAACAGCCTTCAAGTTTAGAGGTACTATCTGCTTTACAACCCTGCTGAAAGTGCTTGCTATTCAAGTTAGCTTTTTAACACATGCAGCACATTTTCCCACCCACATGTACCAAGATTTTTGCCTTTCAAGATTTAAAGATTACATTTCCAACTGAAAAGTGCAGTGCTTTCCGTTATCAGAGACCTACTCTCAACCATTTTCCATTCTTCCATTAATTTGCATAAATATAAGTATTGAATGCTTTTTATTAAAGTCTAGATTCTCTAATCATCCAGTCACTCTGAGTAGATCAAAAGCCTCTTCCTCCTCTGGAGGCACGCACTGAATAACCACTTTTTTTATAAGTACTTATTAAGGCCTAATTATTCTGAAATGTCCTTTGAATGCAGGATAGGAAATCTCCAGAAACCATCTTCCCTAGGTTCTTAGGTGTTCAGAGTATGTTCAAGATTCCCCTCTCTAGCCCAAGAACTACTGACAGCTGATGGCTTTGGGGGAGAGAGTTTTCTTTGAGGGGGTAGCCCCTGGTAGCTTCATGCTCCAGTGGATGGCCGCACACCCAAGAGTATATAGGCAGCACAAATTGGAGTTGGTTGGTTATTTTTAAAAAGACATGAATTTGGGAGGTGGTGAAGGAAATGGGGTGGATTTGGGATGAGTTGGGGGTAAAAATGATCAAAATACATTGTATGTATGTATGAAATTCTCAAAGAATAAAAATATTATTAAAAAATTCTCCCTCTCTAGTACAAAAGGCTTTAAGGATTCTACTGTGCTTTAACAGGGTGAGGAAGTGAGTCACCACAAGAGCCACAGGTAAGACACTTCCAGTCCCTAGACTCCTTTTCTCCCTACTGTGGCCAAACCCACACCAAGGATAAATTCGTTTCCTGTCTTTACCCTCTGGTCTAGGACTCCAATTACATCACTATTCTCCTATCAGACTAGAAATAGGAAAGACTTCCGAAATTGAATGTGGATCTTCTACTATTTAAATGCTATTATATGTGTAACAGTCCTTCTAAAAGACAATTTGCTAAAATTTATAAAAAAACTGAAATACATTTCCTCTCTGACCTACATCTCTTACCTCTGCCAACTTTCTAACGTTTTCACAAACACAAATACACCCAAGAATGACTACACTAGCAAGAACACAGAAACATCCACATACATGAGTGCCTGACCATTCAACTTATGGAACAGCAAAGAACAAAAGACCTGTAGTCTGCAAAATCTCACCAGCGTGGTGATGTGGTCACAATGTTAAGTGAAAAGAGCCAGCTGAGCTGGTTGTGGTGGCACCAATCTATAAACTTGGCACTCAGGAGGCCCAGGCAGGAGGTTCCTAAGTTCAAAACCAATCTGTGCTACAAAATAAGATGCTGTCTCAAAACAAAGAAACACAATACATCCTTTATGAGCCAAAAATTCAGTACATCTCATATCAGAATCTTGTTTCTATTGATAATGTCTCTAAGGAGCATCCCAATTCTGACCCCTTTAAAGCCTTAAAACAGTATATCGACCACCAAAAGGGGGGCGCATATTTATAGGCAACTTCTTGAGAAGACAAACATCCCTATACCCTCCAATGACATAGTAGAAGTACCGTCTATATTGCAGACAAGAAGACTAAGGAAAGGCTATTTTCATGTTGGCAAAAGCTGCTTTGTAAAAAGGAAAAACATTTATTTAACTCACTCAATTTCCCTTCTGTAACTGAAGGTTCAAACTCCCTAAGTTCTAACAGAGCCAATCCTGAAGTGCTCCCGATCGTTGTTCCTTAAAGAACAAGAACAAGGGCACTCTTAGCAGTGGAGGGACAAACAGACTATTTGGCACCAGACATTCTCAATCTTGATCAGAACCCAGCTCTAGAGACCACCGTACCCTGCAGCACTAAAGGCCATTACTCAGAAGGCAAGACTGGGGTGTACACAATTCCTTTCTGGGGAAGAAAGTGCAGGGATAGTACCGATGAATGGTTTACTGAAGCAACTCACGTGAGTAATTGGGGCCACTTTGTAACAACCTGGCTTCACATTTTATAGTAAGGTGATGATCATAATTTTAAAGGCCTATGTTTACATTCATGAATAATACATTATTTTGGAAGGTTGTTCTCCAATGTGAACTCAAGGGAACAGGCCCTGAAGGGAGATGGGTTATGGATCTTATTACAGTCCCAAGCACTTGACTATTTTTCAGATTCCTTTTCCTTCACCTGATAGAGAATTCTGGCAATTAAAGCACGCAATTTCACCTTGTCTTTTGATGAGGGTATGAAAAATACCCTTCAGATAAAGTGGCCTATCTACTCATGTGAAAATTATCATACAACCTAATCTGCATATACAAAACAACAAAAAGGAACAGCAACGTGCTTTCAAAAGCACAAAGTAGGGATTATTTTAGATCTTAGTCCTGAAGAAAATAACATCATCTGCATATAAGAAGGAAAGCAAGCTCAAGTCCAGCTACTAAAGGCCACGTTCAAAGAAGCTGTTTACAGTGTTATGATACTGTAACTCTTCCTCCAACTGCCTACTGTACTTAGCAGCTACTTAAGTTAGTCTATGGTTGAAGGTTTCAACACAGACATACTAGCTATCAGCTTTTCTATCCATTCAAAACACAGAGAAAAATTCAGAAAGTGACGGAAGGTATGTTGACAATTTCACACTTTAAATTGGGGGGGGGGGGTACCAAAATGTGTTGCTTCTGTTGTAATGCTTAAATTAATAAAGCACAAAGCTTCTTGAAGATATTGATGAATATAGTGGTCTATGAAGTTTCTAATCGATATATACCAAGCAGAACCACTCACATGTATCTGGTATCATTTGATGTCTAAAAGAGACCATCAGGCTTGAAAACAAGATAGCACACTTGATCTATACCACTGTCTTTTGAGTTGAGCATAATCAACACACACATACACATACACATACACATACACACACACACACACACACACACACACACACATACAACCTCACGTGAATTGAAACAAAAAATTCAACTAACTCTGTGTCAGAGATACTTCTGTGATGCTGCCTTGGTATAATTTCCCTCATTCATGCCATAGTAAACCAAAACAAATGTAAAAGGATGCTTGTAAATCTGTACTATTTATGTTACTCGGCAATAACTTTTATTATTTGACCCATGAGGTTAAAATAATAATTAAAATGTTATCAGGATCAAGGCAGTCTCAACTAAAGGTGAGACGTAATCCATCCCAAAAGTCAAAAATGTTGCCCCAATCTGATGAACATTAAACATTTAATGTCATTTTGATCTCAATGTACGGAGTAGAGATTTCCATTTCATAAGAATTGGAATATTTAAAGTTGTGATGAGACTTTTTAAAGCCTTACCTGACCCTCAAGGCATACAGATAGGTAAACCATATGTTCTTTACTACTAATTCCTGAAAATACTCTTGGGGAAAATTAAATACTCAGTTGCCGGTCTGAATCAGACTCACCTAGTGTTAAGCAGGGAAGTGATGGCATGGGTACAACTAGCACAGAATTCTCATTTAGACTAGAGTTTAAATATACACCAGAGTTATTCCTGTAGCTGTTTTCAGAAGCATTTCAAATCAGTCTGCTGCCACGGGCTGTTGCAGCAGCATTTGTGATGAAGATTAACTATCTGCAACTCAAAATCTTCCGTGGGAGTTGGGAAAGGTGGTGCATGCCCCTGATCACACAACTCTGGAGCTTGAAACAAGAAGATTGTGAGTTTGAAGCCAACTGGGCTTTACATAGCAAGACATAGTCTCAAACGCAAACAAACGAAAAAATCCGAGATTCTGAAAAATTTTTGTGAACACTCAAAATTTAGGTTTAGCGCCCTGACTTGCAGATAAGCACAGGTAAAAAATGGTTTACAACAAAAAAATGATAAAAAATAAGAATTTCAAAAAGTCAAGAAAAATAAGAAAAGTTTTCTCCTGCATTTTTTTTTCATTTTAACTTACATGAACAAAACAGTTTATAGTTTTAGTCTAGAATATCAGCTGTTGCCATACAGAATAATACTGTGGAAGAAAAATATTAGAACAGCACTAAATAGTGACATTAAAAAATGTGAAATAATGGGGCTGGGCTCAGTGGTTAAGAGGACTGGCTGCTCTTGCAGAGGACCTGGGTTCAATTCCCAGCATCCACATAGTGGCTAACAACAGTCCATTAACTCCAGTTCTAGGGGATCTGACACCCTCTTCTGACCTCTGTGGGTACTGCACCACATTGGTGCACTTACATACATGTAGGCAATACATTCATATGCATAAAATAAAAATTAGAAAAAGGTGAAACAATACATTCAAATTTGTATTATCACATTAAAACTTGATATTGTTATATGATAAGATAGTCAACTTTTTAATGTGTAAGAAAGATATGACACATAGGCCTTATATATACTTTTAGGTATATAGCATCTGTACCAACATTGTGTCACTAAAGTTTAGCTGTTACTCTTGTTTTGAGACAGGGTCTCACTATGTAATCCTGGCTGGCCTTGAACTCACACCAGATTGGCCTCTATCTCACAAACATCTGCCTGTCTCTGTCTCCTGAATGCTAGAATTAAAGGTGTGCACCACTATGCTAGCTTAAAGCAAGTTTTACATATACTGAACATGTAAACCACAATATAACCAAGGAAATTTAAAATGCTGAATTTAGAG